TCCCATGAATGTGTGCCCAAATGCAGCCAAGTTATGAGCCATTGAAAAATCTCCTTGCATGTGCTCAGTAGACTTGTTGGAGCTTCTTACATAAATTCTGCAAAGATTCTGTGTGCATTGAGCATGTTCCAGCCCAGGGCTCCCTACAATTGCTGCACCTGGCTGCTGCAGGCTGGGGTGGGATCAGGCACTGGATCTGAGAGCAGGAGATGGCCTGATCTATGCTCAATGATACCCCATTGGCGCTCAGGCAGCATGGAGAAGGAAAGTGTCGGACTGAATTAGAGGAGGCAATAGCCAGACCAGAGTGGTGGCGGGGAGTGGATTGGGACAAGGAGTCTTGGGGGTGGGGGTAGAGAAACTAAGACTTGGAGTTGTCAGGGTAAGGAGACTGTGACTGGTTGGGCAAGGAGAGTGGAGATGTGGGAGGAGACTGGACATGGATTTGGGAGCAGGGAGACTTGGAGTGGGGAAGAACCATGGGAGGGGAGACGCATTGGATGGGGAGCTGGGTGCAGGGCGAGAACTGGACTGACTGGGCAAAAAGATTGGAACAAGGAGATGGAAAAGAGATGGAGATTGGATGAGGAACCAGGAGGGGGAGACTGAGAGCCATGGGGGAAATTGAGATGGGGAGGGACAAGTGGAGATTGGGGCAGTGAAACAGATTGGGTGAGGAGCCAGGAGTGGGGAACTGGGACTGGATGGGAAAGAAGGCTGGGGGTGGGAGTGAGGGAGAGACTGGGACTCAGAGCCCTGAGGAGGAGATTAGGACTGGCTGGGCAAGGAGACTCAGACAGGGATGTGGAGTATGGGACTCTCATGAGGAGCCAGGGGTGGGGAAGAAACAGGACTGGAACAGGGGCAGATTAGAGGGGACTTGGCAGAATAGGTCAAAAGCTGGGGGGACACAGGGAGAAGGGTCCCACTAGAGAACACTCCCCATAGAATCTGGAATAAACCAAGAATTCCTAAGTTTTGCCATTCCTCTGCTGTCAGCAAATATCTGTGAAACCCTCTGGCAAAGTGTCTCATCACTCTCTATTGCTGGTCCGCATAGACTCTGACAACCTTACTGCTGTCACTCACCCCATTAGCTCAAGTGATCATATCCTACTTTTTTCCACCTATGAAAATTTTGGTTAAATGTCTTGCCCAGCATCACATAAGAACTCTGTGCTAGAGGCAGGGATAGGATCCAGTTCTCCAGGGTAGCATTCAACTGCTTTAACCCTGAGACAATCCTTTCTCTTCCTGCAATTCCCTGCCTCGTTCACTCACCCCTTCCAGTTTCTGCAATAAATGAGGCAGGGGTCCAACAGACAAACTTCTTTGCTACACAACTCTGATTTGTCCCAGAGCGGGTTCATCCTGTGCACTGAATGGGGCAGGGGTCCTGTGGGGAAAAATAGTATGGGATTACGTGGCAGAATTAGATTATTATATAAATTCAACGAATAATATAGAAGTTTATTTCTAAGCCCTTTTTTCTTTTTCTCAATTTAAATTTTCACATTTGAGGGAAATTATGGGATGAGGGTATGACAATTATTTAAGGAGAGTAGACATTGAGATTCAAAAAGTTAAATCATTGTAACCGTTAAAACACAAATTGTCAACATCACATTTCAAAATATAGAAAGTAAATATCCTTAAATCAAACTCTTAAGTTCTCAAGCAGCATTTTTCTTGCTTAGCCTGTCTGTAAATTTTGTTTAATATTGATAGAAATATTTTTGTTGCTTTGTGTGTGTACAGTGAAATCGATGTTTACCGATTAAAAATCGAATCCTTCCAAGCCAAATCATAATGCATACACACAAGGCTGGAGGGTGAATCATGTTTGCCCTGGCCCTCTGAATTCTGTCATTTCCTAACTTCCCAGTGCTTCACTTTGCAACCTTAACATTCTTTTAATGGTGGCTTTTGTGTGTAATTTTCTAGGTTTAAAAAAAAAAAATTCCATCATGTGCAATCATACTGACATCAACATACGCCATCAGCAGGTTGGAATCTTAGATCTGGTGCACTAGAAAGGGATGGGACAGTTTGCAAGTGGGGTTCACAGTTATTTGCTGACAGCAGAGAAACGGAAGTACTTGGTTCTATTCTGGATTCTAAAGGTCGCACACCCTTCTGCCTCTTTCCCCAAGCTTGTGATCCTTTCTGCCTGATTCCCTATAACATGGCTTTGACCTAGTGCTGTTTTTCCTCACCCCGGCTCCTCATCCCAGACTGTCCCCATGCCCACTCAGTCCTAATCTCCTTTTCATGGCTTCCCATTTTAGCCTCAGTTTCTTCTTCCCCCTCCCCCCTCCCAACTCCTTGTCACCAGTCTCCTTGCCCAACCAGTCCCACTCCCTCCCCTGGCTCCTCACCCAATCTGTCTCCCCTTTCCTCCAGTCATGTCCCCTACTCCCTTTCCCCCCCACTGACTCCCAGTCTAAGGCCATGGCTCCTCTACAAACTTGTGCTAGCATAGCTACATCATCAGGGTGTGAAGAGGTGCTGGAAAAAGCCCCTAGTGTAGAGAAAGTTATAGTGGCAGAAGCACAGTTTTACTATTATATCTGCATCCACACTAGGAGCACTTTGCTGGTATGGTATACCAACAGAGCCTTCCAAGTATCGATCTGGCCACAACCTCTCTCCCTCGGCTCCTCATCCAACCTTAGTATTCCTCCATCCCTTCCCCAGCTGCTTGCCCCAGTTTCTTTGTCCAGTCAGTCCCACTTCTCCTCTCCCCCCCGCGCCCCCTCAGTGCATCAGATCCGTCACAGGGGGACTAAATTCACACTGCACAGGCAAGCTTAATTCTGGCATTGCCTAACTTTTCAGTGCTTGACTTCGCAAACTTTACATTTTTACATATTTTTGGTGTAACTTTAAATCAGTTGTCTAGCCACTGAATGGTCTTATTTTCCTCCCTGCTGCATGTGTCCAAATGCTCATTAACATCAATAGGAGTTACACTGCGATGGAAGATTAGACCCTTAATGTAGGTCCTTCATAAGCAAAGTTTCACCTATGTGCTATGCTAGGAATATCAGACTTGTGCAACTGTATACCTGCTTTTTGCACATAGCTGTGTCCTAAGCAGTATCCCTTTACAGTATTGGCTGCTTGTTGCAAAAAGCCAAGGCCTGGAGTTGGAGTAAAGCTTATTCTGGCACTAAGCACATTGACTCACCGAAGAATTGGTTGTGGTTCATTACCGCTCAAGTGATCTGAACAGCATGAAACTAGAATGACTTTAAGGGCTTGTCTACACATGAAACTATTCAGGACAGCTCTTCCTGAATAACTCTATGTGTGAATGTTTTTATTCTGCAATATTCGTTTTAATGTGGTTTTTGAATTACTATAAAGCTAGGATCCCTGGGCATGGACCAGGACCCCATTGTTCTGATGCTGTATAAACGCAGAATAAAAAGACTGTCTATGCCCCAAGGAGCTTATAAAATCTAAGAGTCAACTGGGGAGTACAAGGAAACAGTGAGACAATATTGGTGAACATGATAGGCAGTGGTCTCTCCACACATAGGCAGTCAGTAATGGCTCCATTTGTAGACAAACCCTAACATTATTCAAGTCCTTAATGTTGAAAATGGAGGGGGGGGGGACCATTGAATTAATTACATTGAAAGCTCTTTACATTTTTTTCATTTCAAAACGAAACCAAAGTGCATTGCAATAAAAAAGAAGAAAGGGCAAGATCCAGTGAATCTACAAAGGAATGTCATGGACAGCACAAGGTCTCTGGGGTGGAAGAGGCAGGGAAGAGCACATTGGCCTCTTCTCGAGGAGGGCTTTGGGAGTGCATTAAGAATCTTGGGGGAGGGAGTGTAAGAGTTCATTTGAGTTAAATGGAGTTTGCAACGTGAGCTATATTGGGCCAGGGAGTCTCTCATATTAGCCTGGGGAAGCACAACAGGTTTACAAATTAAGATGGGGATAGACTTAAATATTTGGCTGGGCTACAGGGGGTGGCACAGTGTTTTCTTTTTCCTCAAAGTGGGCATGTCTAGGGTTGCAATAATTCCATTGTTTGAGACAAAGCTATGTCGGTCCCATCATACTTTGCCACCTTGTGTGTGTTGACTTCATTTTTTTTCGTTCTTGGGGCTTGTGTTTACTTTTTTGTTTTAAAAACACTCTATTTCTAGCACTTACGAGAATTAAGCTGTGACTTTTATACAACCTGCCAGGTATGGTGAACTGTTCCCTTTCTTTCTTTCTTTTTTTCCCATGCTCACATAGTGGATTTAGCAGAAAATTCCCTTTTAAACAAGCTTATCCGGAAGTCTCTGGTAGAATCCAATCATCATGTTGAAGTCCTGCAGCGAGATCCCAGCTCCCCTCTCTTCTCAGTAAAAACCTTTGAAGAACTGCATCTGTGAGTAACTGGGACAGAACTACACACTGAAAAAGGGCAGTCAGATCAATGGGCCAGTAGTAACTACGTGGGGGTTTTAGTCATGTTCTGTCACGCAGTCTCCTTTGAATTTGGGAGTGATAGTACAATACAGTAAAAATCAAATACAGCTAAAACGGGGAAGACACGCAGACATACATTGAAGGATTCATCCGTTCCACTGTAGTGTGATCTTGTGAGACTAACATGTCCTGGTACCATATCCAAAAACCACATTGAAACACGATTGTAATCCACCCATATTTTAACACTGATTTTTAGATGCCATAGCTATAGACACCTTAAAGAGGTTTTTTTTCTTGCCAGTATGGAAAGGAAAAACAATCTATAGCTATAATGAAAACTGTTTTTAATGTTGGTAAATATATAGGCTAAAATAGTTCCTAAACATGGTTTAAGCATGTCAGTCTTTCCACACAACTATGATCCGACCATATTACAACATGGATTTTCACTGACGTTTCCTAACCACGTTTAAACATGGTTATTTTTGTGGTGTACCCAGGCCCTGATTAGGATTAGATGCAAGATTTCCAAGGGAAACCTGAAGGTGTCTAGGAAATGATGGTGTTACGCCAACAGATGAGTCTTCCTTCTGTCTGCTGGACTAGAGCCACAGCAAGGAACAGTTAGAACACGTCTAAATAAGCTTTAAAACCAAAACATGCTGATAATATGCTGCAAAAGATCTTGTAGTGATACCTCTCCCGAGCGTATGTGTGGTACCTGTGACAGAGTGTTGGGTTTGGTCAATATTTTGTATTTCCTAATAGAAGATGGATTGGGCAATAATTTGTTTCATGGTAAAGGACATAAAATAAATGGTAAAAGGTCACACCTAATTGCTTTCCTCAGCAGAATTGGGGATTGGTTGAATACAGCAAGTGGGGCTGAGATGTTTAGCATGTGAGAGACAGATATTAAACATTGGTAAAGCATCTTTGTATCCTCAGTGGCCCATCTCTTAAAGAATGCAGAGTCCCCCAAACCCTACTGAGTGCGTGAGTAATTGGATAAAACTGGTTTGGAAGGTAGGGTGGCAAGCCTGGATTGTGGTTGGGGTACCCTATCTATCTCTCTGGACTTGACAGCAGGGGCTGACTCTGACAAGAGACTGTCAGACAGAACAGGTCTTGCTTTTTAGACATTAAGATCTTTTTTCCTCTGACTCAACTGAGAATGTCCTATCCAGTTCAGCTAGATAGGTTTAAATATAAATAAATATAATGGAGATATCCTATCCTATCTCCTAGAACTGGAAGGGACCTTGAAAGGTCATCGAGTCCAGCCCCCTGCCTTCACTAGCAGGACCAAGTACTGATTTTGCCCCAGATCCCCAAGTGGCCCCCTCAAGGATTGAACTCACAACCCTGGGTTTAGCAGGCCAATGCTCAAACCACTGAGCTATCCCTCCCCCCAGGTTAAGCTAACCATTGCTTTTGTTTTAACTCCATTTTCTCTTGGCTTTTAATAAACCTTGTTTTTGTCACAAATACTCTTTTATCAGTAATTTCACATGCCTGAATGTCCTACTCAAGTTCCCGGACTGGAGAAAAAGACATGCGAAAAATCCCGTAACACATTTTATTTAGTAGGATTTGGAAATCTAATCATTGGTATGTTATGACCATATCTCAGATGAGGGTACACGATAGACTACATTCTTTGGAAAGAAGTATGCAGCCTAAAACAGTTTGAAAGCACTGTCCTAGGGCATCTCATCACTTGCTTGTTAATAGTTTGATTTTATCCTGGTTTGACAGGAAGAAAGAGTTATTACAGGGGATTTATGAAATGGGTTTCAACAGACCATCCAAGATACAGGAGACAGCGCTTCCTATGATGCTAGCTGACCCGTGAGTACTTGCAAAACAAGGTGTAAAACATGCTATTTGCATTTGTTCATTATTTTCATATTTCTGCCATTCTGGTCATAGGCATGGTTTGACTTCTATATTTGGGGGGGCAGGGCCTGGCGGGGCAGGGCCAGCTCCACATGGAGGGGCCCGAAGAGGGAGCGCCACCTCCACCCCAACTCACCTCAGCAGTCCACCCAGCCTGTCTGGGTTTGAGGGAGGGGTAGGGTGCAATAAAAAATTATAACTCAGTGTGCGTGGGGGGGGCGGCAACTCAAAAAGTTTGAAAACAGCTCAGGGTGCAGGGAGCGGATAACCGGGGTAGCTCAGGGTGCAGGCAGAGGATAGCTCAGGGCTGTGTGCTGGGAGGGCCCCGTGCTGGGACGGCCCCCCCTGTGGTCGCCGTTCCCAGAGGGCTCTTCCAGTCCTGCAGCTGAGTTCCCCTGCCCAGGCAGCTCTTACCAGCTGTATGAGCAGTCAAAGGGGGCTGAGAGCTGAGGAGCACCAGCAGGAGGAGGAGGAGGGGGGAGCCTCCGTGGCACCAGCCAGAGCAGCAGCCACCCTGCACTGCCTGGCTCCAGCTTCCCGCCTCTGCCCTGGAGTGGGGTATCGGAGGGGTGTGTGTGGAGCTGCCCCCCTCTGCTTATGGCAAGCCCCCCATGTCTCCCCCAGACTCTTCCCATGCTTCTGGTTCTCCTTCTCCCTGGCTGATCATACCGGCAATGCTTAATCTCCTTCCCTGACTCCTTATGTCTTGGTGTCACACTAGATTCCATTCAGTTTTTCCCATGGCGTAGTTTGGAGAGGAGTGGGGGGGGGGGGCATTGCCCTCCCGCAAATTGCAAGCGTTGGGTGACACACGAGGGGAGGGGGGACAGATTTCTGCCTTCCATTTGGCCCTGCTCCCTCCCCAGGCAAGCCCTGCTGCGCGAGACAGGCCCAAGCCCCCCTAGGGGAGCACGGAGGAATGTTTGGGTGGGGATGGGGGAGCAGTGACACCAGGTGCTTTACGTGGCCAGGTCAGTTTCCCCATGCAGGCTGCCTGCACAGCCTGGCCTTGCAGCAGCAATATCCCCTCGGACACAGCCCCTCCCTGCAGCCTGAGCTACCGTCCTCCTGGCACATAGCCCCTACCTACCCGCTGCCTGTACCTGGAGCTACACCCCTGCCAGCAGCACACAGCCTCTAGCTCCCCCTCCTACACCTTAAGGGGTTTTCCAACTTTTTGAGCTGAGGCCCTCCTTTTAGTTACAATTTTTGGTTGCATGTCCCTCCCCACCGCCAACCCAGAGAGGCTGGGTGGCCTGCTGAGGTGAGTCAGGGGATGGAGGTGCTGCTCTGTCCTGGGGCCTTGCCGTGTGGAGCTGGCCAGAGCCTCACAGAGTTGTTCAGGACCCCCTGCCTGCCTGCATAGTCTCCAGCTGCTGGCTGGCCCAGGTATGTCTACATGGAAATAAAAGCCCTGCAGCGCGGCCATGGCTGGCCCAGGTCATCTGATTTGGGCTTGTGGGGCTCAGGCTACGGAGATAAATATCACTGTGTGGATGTTCAGCCTCGGGTTGGAGCCTGAGCTCTGGGACTCTCCACCCATGCAGGGGTCCCAGAGCTCGGGCTCCAGCCTGGGCCGGAATGTTTACACGGCAGTGTTTCAGCCCCAGAGCCAGAACCTGAGCCCTGCAAGCCTGAGTCAGCTGACCCTCCCAGACCCACGATCTCAGTTAGACATTAACTCTTCCTTCTCTCCACATCAGGAGTCTAAACACTTGTCATTATCTTCTTGATAGCTCCAAAATCTGCCCATTCCTCACTTTGACCACTATAACCCTCTCCTATTTGACCTTTCCCCATCCTCTAGCCTGTCCAAAATGCTGCTGCCAACATAATCTTCCTCTCATCCTGCTTTGACTGTGTCATCTACTCCTGAGGGTATTCTGGGCCAAAAAAATTAAAATCCTGCACACAATATTTTAAAATTATACAATTTCTGTCAACAAATTTGTCAATAAATAAACGTGGAGGCTCCAGCATGCAGTGGGGAGCACAGCCACTGACTGCACAGAGGTAGATCACCCTGTGCCTGCCCTCCCACAGACATGGACTCGGTGGTAAAGTTGCACCCGACCCTAAACGCAAGGACTGGGACTGTCCAAAAAACACCCCTGGGCTCTGCCCCTCCATGCCAAGCACACTAGATGTAGGCAGGCAGGCTCAGCCTAGCAGGGTCCAAGGATGGGGGGAGCGCTTAGTGTAGGGAGATCCAGGCGTGGGGTAATAGGGTTCTGTGTGGGGCGATCTGGGTGCGGGCGGCTTGGGGGGGGGGTCCGGGTGCAAGGGAGATCTGGATGAACGGGCTTTTGAGGGGGGTGTTTCTGGGTGGAATCACAGTGGGACTCTGCAGGGGTGTCCAGGTCAAGTATCAGAGGGGTAGCCATGTTAGTCTGTATCCACAGGTGCTCTATGCGTCCAGGTCAGTCCAGGTAAAGGTGGTTGGAGCTCAGCGGGCGGGGGTAGGGGTCCAGGTGCTGGCTTGGTAGGGTGCGGTTCCGGGTGCTGGCTTGGTGCGGTTCAGTAGGGTGGGAGTCTGGGTGTGGGAGTCTAGTCAGGGTGGTGCAGGTGGGGTGGGGCTAGTTGGGGTGAGGATTTGACTGTGGAGGGCGGTCTGGGTGCAGGGGTGGGGTCCAAATGCAGGGAGGTGGGGCTCGGCGCGGGGCGGGAGTCTGGGTGCAGGGGGGCTCCGGATGCAGAGGGTGAGGCTTGTCGGGTGTTGGTTCAGGTTCAGGGGAGTCAGTGGGGAGGTTCTTGGTGCAGGGGGTGAGGCTTGGCAGTGCAATCTGGGTATGAGGTGGGTCTGGATGCATGGGGGTTGGCTGGATGGGAGAGCAGCTCCCCATACAATGACCCTTCCCCACCCCCCCATGGCCGAGGAGCAATGGGGGCAAGAAGAGGGTGGGGGGAGGTGCGGCGTTTCCTGCTGCTGGAGAGGTTTCTGGGGGTGGGTCTGACCCAGCCCTAGCCGCTCCTTGTAGGGGAAGAGGAAGTCCCGTCCTCCCCAGCCCAGTCAAGACTAGTAGCTGAGCCTGGCACAGGGTAGAAGCCACAGGCCGCGGCATCCCCAGCCCCTCCCTCCCAGTGATTTACCTCTCTGCTGGCTGCTCCGGGTGCCTGAAACAATGCACTCGTGCTGCAGGGGACTCTTGTGACTTCCCTGTCAGTCATTTTTCTGTGGGGAAGCAAAGAAATCTGTGGGGGACATGAATTCGGCACACATGCAGTGGCACAGAATTCCACCAGGAGTAGTCATCAACCCTCCACTGGCTTCCTGTCTCTCATAATATCCAGTCTGAGATACTCATCCTTTCTTTCAGGTCCTGAGTAATCTCCCATCCACCTGAATCTCTGTTTTGACTTCCTCCTGTACTTATCCCAAGTCTCTTCCCTTACTCCTCTGTCTCCCACATTCTGTTTTGTGCCTTGTGTTGTGCTGCGTGTACCTGGGACACATTTCCTGTCATCTTCTTTCTGTTTTTATAATCTCCTTTCGAGGCAATCCCTTTTTGTATATAATCCCCCCCATGTGCACACACCCTCTCTGTTTGGAGAACACCATGTACATTTAACAACACTACAAATGTTTTTGCAATTATAAAACCTATGCATAACTGAGTAAATTCTTATTGTTTTGCAGACCCCAAAATCTTATAGCACAGAGCCAGTCAGGGACAGGAAAAACTGCAGCTTTTGTCTTGGCCATGCTGAGCAGAATTAATGGTGCTGAAAAATTCCCCCAGGTACTACTGGTAGAAAGTTAAAGTGATCTGGGAGGAATAGCAATATATTGTCTTTCTTAAAGGGAAACCGCTTAAAGTCACAGTTTGAATGTGTTGCTACTGTTACTTGTACCATCTATGGTCACTGTAGTGGGAAAGTTAAATGACTTTTCCTTTCCATTTTCTTTGTGTGACAGCACTTTGTATATACTATTTTTCACGGATTCATCCGTGTAGTCGGTTTCCCCTGTTTGGGCCTGTCATGCAATTACAGGGGACAAACTTTTATTTGAAAATAGGAAGCTATGATTGTAGAGGGAGACATAGGTACTTGAAATTACTTTTAACTCCATTTTAAAAAAATGAATTAGGTTTCATGTTGTGTTTTTCTTTTCTTTTGGGGTTTGTGATGCTGCTGTAGTTGTGATATGCCAGCACTTCCAGTCTAACCTCTGTCCTTTATGGAAAATATCTTGGTTGTTCAGTCACTTTGGAACTTGATATATAGGCTGTTGGTCTGGATGCGCTTTGTAACAAAAATGGGTTTACATCTTAAGTTGTTTGCATTATAGAGCAGAAAACTGTTGAATGGTTTCAGATTAATATTGAAAGCTCCATCTGAAAGTATAACTTACAAATATAGCATGCATATTTCCTAATTGTGGCTTTAGACCAGGTTTGAAATACTTTGCATTTAAGTTTTGAGAAAACAGAGATGTTTGAAGAGCAATTACTGTGAGTTCATGATAGCTCTTTTCTGTAGTTTATTTTATAATTAAAATTCTTGTTCACATGAATATTCTTATTGGCTCAAGTGTCACTATTGAGTTCTTCGAGTGCTTGCTCATGTCCATTCCATATTAGGTGTGTGTGCTCGCCACATGCACCAGTGCTGGACGTTTTCCCCTCAGTGGTATCCGTAGGGGACCGGCTCTGGCGCCCCCTGGAGAGGCATGCAAATGCCGTGGTATAAGGGGCGCCGCCGGCTCCCCCCACCCTCAGTTCCTTCTTGCTGCCAGTGTCGGTGCTGGAACTTCTGCTGCTTCGGCTAGCATTTTGCTTTGTTCAGTGTTTTTCACGAATGTTTTCCTGTAAAATAGTTGTATATAGTTAATAGTTCTCTTAGTGTTAGTTCTGGTTAGTTGGTCCTGGACGGGACTTAGCCTAGGGATGGGGCATGCCCGGGTCCCCAGGCTTTAAGCCATGTGATGGTTGTAAGCAGCCTATGCCCATCAGTGACCCCGCACGTTAGTTGTTTAAGGTGTCAAGGCAGCGTTTCTCAGATGTGGCCACCAGGGGCTTTTCTTGCAGCCACAGCCTCCTGGGCAGTGATTTGGGAGAGAGGGGTGGGCAAAGCAGCAGCCCCTCCCCAGGGGCCACCAGCAGTGGTTGGGCCCTGCCCCTCTCTGGAGAAATACAAGCTGGAGGAGCAGGCAGTCAGTGAGTTCTCCACGTTCCCAGGGGTGGTGTATTTGGGCTTCAGCCCCGGAGGGGCAGACGGCGGGCTCCAGCCACGGGATTTCGGGCCCTATCCCCTGGATGTCCCATTGCCCCTGGCCCCCACTGCCTCTGTAGCCACCTCCCCATCCAGGGCTTAATTTGTCCCCGGGCTTGCCGGGGCTGAGTAAGTCTGCTGTGAAAAGTGATATTAACAAACATACAAATATCACTTTTCAGCTAGCAAGTCTTAAAAAAAAAAAGGGGAGGGGGCAAAAGAAACAAGAAAAAAGACAAGAACATTCAGAGTACCTTATTTGAGTTGCTATTCTGTTTAGGTCCAGTAAAGAATAGGCACAAGTACAAAAAATCCTACATGGATAAATTACAATGATTTGGACATGTATATGTGCATATTTATTTGTTTTTCCTAAAGTTAATTAAGTATTTTAGGAAAAATTGATAGGGTGGCGGCCACCGGCAAGAGTGGGTGGCCGCATTCTGAGGCCACCAAAAAATTTGTTGTGAGAACCCCTGTTCTAGGTGAAGGACACGTCAGCGACAAGTGTCGCATCTGTAAATCATTTAAACCCCGAACAAAAAAGGAGAGAGACAAACGTCTCAGGGCGCTCCTGATGGAGTCGGTGCTGACCCCGGCACTGTAGTAGAGGTCTGACTTGGCCCCGAATACCGCAGTGTCCGTGCGGAGCGCCCCGCTGGTGCCATCTACAAGCTGGCACTGATTCCCCCTCCCCAGCTCCGGCCAAGAAACCGAAGAGGACTGTGAGGGGAAGAGATGTCCCTGTGGGCGCTCCACTTCAGGTCAAAGTGCCTTCGATCGGAGATTTCAACAGCAGTACCCCTATGGGCTGCGCACGCCTCTCGAGCTGTCAGTGTTTGAATAGCGCGTGCACAGCCCGGGCTCCTCCGTTCCATCTCTACCGTCCCCGGCTAGAGATGGAGTTCAGCCGTGCTCTTTGTGATTTAGCTAGTTAGTTTGTTTCTTAGTTTATTTAGACAGTTTTAGTCGTTACAGTTAATATTTAGGTAAGATACATTAGCTGTGTGTGTTTGTTTGTTTATTTATTTATTTATAAACATTAAAAAAAACCCTCTGCGGTTACGGACATGCCTGGCTCCCCAGGCTTCAAGAGATGTGCCTCCTGTAATGATGCCATCCCCATCTCGGATGGTCAGTCGCAGTGTGTATGCTGTTTGGGGGAGTCTCATGTACCCCAAAAATGCATCCACTGTACCAAGCTGAAAACGCAGACCTGCAAGGACAGGGAGTTCAGACTTAAAATTCTCCTGTTGGAAAACTCCCTCAGACTTGCATCTGATCCTGGCCACCAAACCTCTGTGACACCCTCCAGAGACAAAGGCAAAGCAAAAAAATGGCCAACTTCCTCCCCCCTCGGGCCGCTCCTCAGGGTAGAAGTCTAAACCGGCTCTCCTGTCTCCGGCAACCGCCGCTCCGCGGCTTAGTACCTTTGACTCGGCAGGCACCTCAGGCACCGACTGTGAGTCGGCTGCCCCACTACCCGGTGCCAAGGCTCAGGGCTTTCAGTTGCCCGCCTCTTTCAGCTCTTCCTCGGCCACCTCTGTCAGTACGGTGCCAAGAATACAAGTGGCAGCTGCGGCACCATCCTTTGATCATGCGGTGCCGCTTTTGCAGCCAATGCTCCCGGCACCAAGCCTCCTGATGTCTCCAGCCTCCCTAACAGTTCCTACCTCAGGGGCACCTACTCCTCTGAGGCAGCTTGCACCCCCGGGACACCCTTCGGTGCATCAGCAGATGCCCCAGCAGACTCTGCCTCCAGCATCTACACCAGCCCCTTGTCAGTCAGCTCCACCTCAGTTTTTACATCCAGGGGAATTAAGGGTGTCCCATGCCCCTGAGTCTCCTCTTCTCGGCACTAATCTGTCACTGAGACCTTCAGCACCCTACCTTCAGTACTCCCCTACTGCTTCAATTCTCTCAGATGAGGAGGAGGAAGAGGAATATGATGAACAGATGTTTTCCTCTCAATATTTCCCCTGCAACTGGGAGACACATTACAACGCAGTCTCCATATCCTACCGGCTACCCACGCTGGTATGGCAATCCCTGGATGGGACCATCTATGCCCCTCCCGGGGCAATGGCCACACTGGGGTTCATGGAACTACACCACAACACACTCAGGTGTTCCCCGGGCTGCCCGGAGGAAAGTTGTCAGATCCTCCCCACTGCCAGCTTACACTGAAACCCAGATAAGACCTGAAGTGGCCGTCCCGCCTGCAGAGGATACTGCCCTGCACCCTCTTCTACAGCGATACCACCACAAGACGCCATGGTACCCCCACCACCTCCCGCTACTGATGAGCTCGCTCACTTTCAAGAATTGTTTCACAGAGTAGCAGAGGAGCTCAAGATTACCCTGGAGGAGGTACCTGAAACACACCACGAGCTTACCAACATCTTGCAAGCTATGACCTCCTCCAAAATAGCCCTACCAATGAATGGGGCCATTATGGAACCTGCTAAAACTATCTGGCAGACCCCGGCCACGATAACCCCCCCTCCCCCCAGCAAGAGACTGGACTGCAAATATTTTGTCCCGTCTAAGGGTTCTGAATTTCTATTTACACACCCCTCACCTAATTCTCTAGTGGTTGATGCGGCCAACCAGAAAAATAAATACCAACACTTCAGATCCACCCCATCTGACAAAGATAAAAAGAGACTGGACTCTGGGCGCAAAGTGTATGCCTCTTCCACTTTGCAATTTAGAGTAGCAAACTATGTGGCGCTCTAAGCAAAATATGACCACAAAAATTATGCTAAAGTAATGCAATTTATTGATGATGTGTCGGAAGATAAATGACAACAATTTAAAGCAGTGGTGTCCGAGGGCCAATTGATCTCTTGGACAGCTCTTCAAGCCGCCCTCGATGCTGCGGATGCAGCGGCGAGATCCACAGCCATGGTCATTGTCATGCGGCGTGCCTCATGGTTTGCTTCTTCCTCCTTTCCCAAGGAGATACAGAACACTGTCAAAGATCTCCCCTTTGATGAGGACAAGTTCTTCGCCTCTGCGACCAATGAGGTCCTTCACTCCATGAAGGACTCACGTGCCACACTCCGATCCTTAGGCATCCAAACACCTGTCACAAAGAAGAGACAATATAGATATCAGCCATACCAACGACTGCGTTACCATACCTTTGTGCAACATCCACCTTTAAGGCAATATGATATACAACAACAACATAGACCCAGGAACCAACGACGTCGCCCTCCGCAAACAACAGCACCCCACCCTCCTAACCCAAATAAACAAATTTGAAGTCTTGGTCGAGGGTATAGAAAACGTCGCACCTTCTCCAGCACCGACTCCAACCATCCATTTCTTTGGACACTGTTTGCGTCCGTTCCTTGCCAACTGGGAAACCATCACTATGGACAGATGGGTCCCGGAAATTATCAGATCGGGTTATGCCATCTCCTTCCTCTCTTTACCTCCCGCCCCCCCTCCCACCCCATCCCTCTTCAGGGACCCCTCTCACAAACAATTGCTCCGTCAGGAGGTACAACACCTCATG